ATTGTTTCTATTATTTTTGTCAAAGTACAGTGGTGTGATGTTTGTACTAAATAGCATCTGAGGAAATGGGAATGATGAGAAAGCTTCCTGTAATAAACTTAAAGGTATCACTTTGGTAAGCTAGAGCATTGGGAGCTTTTTTTTCCCCCCAGTTTTCCTGTTCTGGATTTTTTTGTCAGCTGAGATCTATTGACGAACTGTTTCCCTGAAAAGTACAAATCATTATTGCCTGCTTTCTTCCTTATTTTTTTCTAGGAGAAGGAACATTTCTAAAGAAAGCCTTGTGTTTTTCCTTTCTTATATATGTCAGTGTAATAGCAGAATAAAATAGCAGAAAAAACCCACCCAAATCTAGTATTCACAAGTAGACTAGCAATTACGCTGCACAGGTGTGACCTGAGTAACAAAAAAAGCTTTGTAGTAGTTTTTCTATGGCCTGGACAGCTCAAAGAAGTTGAAATAAAGCTATGAAAGCTCTCTTATGCTCAGACAAAGTCTGTTAGAATTTCAGGCTGTAATAGGAAAAAACCTGTTGCTTTAATTGGCCTCTAGGAGTGATATTTTTATTTGGAAGAACTGTGGTAAATAATGCAGGAAATTGGTTTCTCAGACTGAGTTAGGAAAGGTTACTGGGATGGGAATTAAGGGATGGAGGAAGGATGAGGAGGACAAGTGTGCGAAAGGGAATGAAGAGGATGTACGCCACAGCGAAGTCTCGCAGTGGTAGTGGGGAGTGGGTAAAAGGGGGTGGAATGTGGAAAGAAAATGGCAGTAGATGACAGACACAAGTGGGGGGGATTAGCTGTGAAAATTACTGGTAGCAAGCTTCAGTACTGCAGTGTGCTTGCGCACTAGGGGTTCCTGTCACACTAGGAATTTTTGCATTTCACCCACCCGAGTGTTGTAGGACACAGAAAGGCTTTATTTTATCATCATGGTATAAAGCTTCTAGTGGTAGAAGCTGTATGTATTTTGAGGTGTGGCAAAGCAGAGGAAAAACAGCAGTCTTCCCCCACCCACACCTCCTGAAGTCATCAAAATCACCAAATCATTAAAATTTGGGGGATGTAGCTTGTCTTCTCAGAGTAGTAGCTATGTTGTGCATTTATTTGAATGCTCAGTTGTAATCCTAAAGTCTTTAGAAAAATTAGTATGTAGAGGTGCTAACATTGTTAACAACTTCAGCTTTATTGAGTTAGGATGGGCATCCTTTTTTACAGTCCTCTGTGTGAGTGTTCGGTAATTCCTGAAAGATGCATTTTTTTTAAAAAACTTGAAACCCTCCCAACCTCCTCCTAACAAATAAATCATTAATACGAAGTTAATGTTTTCCTTGTAGCCCCTGTTGCAGTAAAGTGTTGATCAAAATAGATTTGTTGTAAATTAAAAAATAAGCTTCAAAGTATCTGCTGAGTTAAGTTTTGCCTGAGCGATACCGTAAATGTATAACAAATATACTTGAGGTAGGTATTCTTTTAGCATGCTTAACAAAGCTCAGCTTGTTTCCTCTGATAATTTTCCAGAATGTTTATTCAATGTGAGCTGAGAGATCATTAGTAAGTCTTCAGTTGTCATTTTCTATGGTACTATCAAATTGTCTCCTGAATCTGTTTCTATAATAAGAAAATTGTAAATTGGTAGATAGTGTCAAAATATGTTTGTGTCCTGCTTTCAATTTACTGCTCTATGTTCTCACAGTTACACTTCCCTAGTGTTAGATTTTCAGTCTTTTCTTTTTTTTTTTTAAAGAATTCCAGTTCTTTGTCAGGTACCTGACAAATAAGAACCTTTTGAAATTTAAAACCAGTTACTATTTGTCTTATGGTCACTGTTTTGGTGTTACTTTGTGTTAAATATAATCCACATGTTGAAACGCACCAGACTCTCCACATTCTTTGGCTATTTCTGCATTTTGGTACTGCTTTTCTATGGTTGTGAGTTTTCTTTACAATACAGAAACTTAGGGAAGTATCCCTGGAAAGAAAAGAAGAGGGTTTTTTTTATCCTGTAGAGGCTACCTCTCTGAGATTAGTAAAAGTACGATTAGGAGTGTAAAGGTAGCAAAGATTAGAGGAAAGCGGGGGGATGCAGGTAGACTGCATGAAGCAGTATTTCTCTAACTTTTAAGTCAAAGCATTGTCAATGAGAGAGAAGGAAAACTTTTCTTCAGTAGTTCTTATAAAAATTGAGTTTCCTTATGTAGTTACAAGTATGTGATATTTTAAAAAATAGCCCATTAATTAATAGTGTTAGTCTTCAAGCTCAGCAGTTTCTACCATAACTGTTAAACATCCAGGCAGCAATGTCTTTGTGCAACTTGTAACTAGTTTATCTTTTTTATTCAAATCTGTTATTGATACTGTTTATTACCACTTCTTGGCATCCATATGAGTGTGTAGAAGCTAACTAGATGTAATGAAATTGTTATAGATATTTTATAATTGTTTGCAAGAGAAGAAGCCCTGTCACTGTTTTCCGTGGCTTTTGAGTAGGGGCCGGTTTTATGTAATATGTAGGTGTTGAATTTTAAAAGTCCAGAAAATCTACTATTATGAAAATGTTTATACAGGCTGAGAGATTTGCATTATGTGCTATAATATGAGTGACCTTAGAAGATATCTTGCATGGTATGAAATAGCTATTTGTTGAAAGTAAGTCATTCTGTGTAAATTTCAATGTCTGTAGATACTTAATCAGTTCCTTTCAGTTTTTCTGTCTGTGTGGTGCTTTCATTTTGCTGATTTCTTTTTTTCTTGTGCTGTTGGATAGCAAATGGAATCTAACTTACCTAGCATAAACAAAATGACAGTATGCAAAATTGCTAATTGCTCTTGTTCCTTGTGGTCTTTCCTTGAAGTAGGTTTATAAATAACAGACAAGGGTATCTTTGAGGTAGTGCGGAGTGGGAGGGCTACTGAATTTAGAATCTGATTTTTCTTGCAGGATTGAGCTTATTTTGAGATAATCAGAGTTTACAATTGATAAATAAAGCTATTAAGAAAACTTTTCTAAGTCAAAAACTAGCATGGAGTTTATTAATTTTCCCATTCCACTCAGTACACAATGTAACAAATACATTATGTTAAGTTGGGGTTGTTTTTGCTATTTGTTTGGGATCATCTCTTGGGAATCTATAAAATATGCTTATTCTTCTAGTAAGCTTTTGCCAAATAGAAACATTTTGTAGTTGGCAGGACTTTACATAAATGCTTCTTTAAAGGAAGAACTGTTTCATAAGTGCCTTTTCTACACAGTTTATTCCCCAGATATGCCTTCACGGCTTCCAATCCAAGACATCTTTGCTGGACTGGTTACGAGTATTGGCACAGCAATACGATACTGGTTTCATTATACACTTGTGGCCTTTGCATGGTTGGGAGTAGTACCTCTTACTGCATGTAAGTATTAATTTTTTTTTGTACTGTAATACTCTTATATGTAGGAAAATATGGCACGTCCTGCAAAGTTGTGTGGGACCATCGTTCGTTTATTTAAAAAAAAAAAAAAAATCATAAATTCGAAGACATTATTTCCCTGATTTTCACTCAGGAGTTCTAGCTATTTGACTCTTAAGCTAGTAGTGCAATGCAGGAAGGTGTTAAGACATAGAAGAAAATGCATAAAAGTGATTTTAAACTTCTTATTCCAATAAAATGCCCCTTTTCAATTATCTTCTTTAAAATCTATATGGAAGTTTTTATTTGATATCATTTATTGATATTAGGATAGAAGAATTGTTCTGTTTTTTTTCTAATTCTCTATGAATGAAAATGCAGTATTTTTTTAGTGTGAAAAGTGAAATTCCTTTACAGTCATACACAAATTGATTAGTAAAACTCCTCTTAAAAAATCCTAAATGGAGACCTATAAGTAGTAAAGGAATTTAACAGAAAAAGAGAGTGTGCATTTAAATTACTGTAGTATCCAGTTTGAAAATCACTTTTCAAATACAAATGGAAAGAGAACTATTGATATTTCAACAAGCTAAAAATATAGAGAAGATGAAAAAAGGCAAAAAGTATATAGTATTCAGCCAAGGAAATGATTGGTAGTGCATCTTTACAAACAGTAATATACCCCTTGAATAAAAGAGCAGGGAGCCAGTAAATGCATCTCCCTAGACAGTTTCTCAATATGTTCTGTGCTTTTATTTGTAGCTGGCACTGGCTTAGTTTGAGAATAGCACAATACTGGCATCAGCGATAAAAGAGTGATCCTGTTTCTGCAGCCTGTCCTTCCTGTGCAAGAAAAAGAGCTTTTCTGGGCATGGAGTAACCAAGATTTACAAACTGCTCTGTGTTCAAACTTAAATATACTTCAAATGTCTTCCTTAGGTTTTTAGATAATGCAAATGTTGTACACTTTTCTTACTAAAACTTCTAAAGGACAGCAGAATAATATTCAATAGATTAGGACAGCAGAATCATTCAATAGATTAATTCAGGTGGTTAAGTTTCATAACTGTCTGAAAACTTGATGCTGGCTCTTCAGTAAAGCAGTAATACTGAAATGTTACCAGAAGTCACCACCTAAACTTTTTTTTTTACAAATGTTATTTTTGGTTTTTAATACTCATTTACTAAGCCAATATAACTGAATTATGATTTTGATTTAAAAGTGACCAATTGTTTTTTTACTTTGTCTTAATTTCTGTCTTTAACATTGCACATGTACCGCTATATATAGATTCCTTTAAGAATTAATGTACTGTGAAGGGTAACATATTTACACAGGAAGGCGTCCAACGTGGTAGAGCCATTCAGTCTAACAAACCCTGAAAAATCCATTTACTTTTGAAATTTGTCAGGATCTGTTTCGTGGATGTGAGTTTTTTTGTACATCTTGCCTTCCTAGGTTAAATGTCTTTTATGTAATCTTTAATTTTCTGTAATATTTAAATACTTTTAAATGTAATCTTCTGCCTTCCCTGTTTCTGTCATATGGCTCATGTAATTGTGTGTCACTGGCTTCACAAGGAAGTATTCTTCTCACTATTTTATATCTGGAAGAAAAAGGTGCAGCATAAAAAACTTGTCAACCATACCAAAGGAGATCTATGGTTGAACAAATCTGTCTTCCAGATTAATGTGCTAGTCGTGCAGTTATCCTATTGTGGGATAAATTCTACTTTTTTTTTTTTGTAATTTCACTTCTTTATTGCATATTCATCTTCGATAGTTGAGTAAAAGGAATTTGTCTCTCTGTGTGTACCCTCAGCCTAATCCCAGCAGGCTCTGATATGTGGTTGCTATTCTCTTAGCATAAAGCATATTTACATTACTGGATGAAAAAAAGCAGTTACGCAATTCGCTGTGATCTGTTCAGAGAATCGGGATTAATTGGGCCAATTTAATCCAAAGTGGTTTTATTGTCTGTGATATTTGTATTTAGCTGCACGGTTCCTAGAGTGAAATAGCCAAGGTACCTATGCAGTACATGGGGTAAGAAAGAGGTATACCTACTGAGTAAAGTGAATGTGTACACTGAGGCAGGAGGAAATGCTAGAGTGGAAGTAGAGTTGTCTGAAGTGCCTCCTGTATCTCAAATTTTAGAAACCAGTCATTACACACTGACATAGCACATAAATGTATTTTTCTGGAGTGATTCAGTTGCCTTTTTTTTTTTTTAAATAATACAGTTGAAGAGAATGGTTGTATGCATGTTTCATGTAATTACGTAGAGGTTAAAATTGTAGAGATGTGTAATAGAACTACTTAAATTGGCATGAGTAAAGTATAAATGGAATTATGTATGTGAGCACCAGTAGAACCAGCAGAAGGGCTCAAAGGAGTATTTGCTGTTTGCCAAAGAGCACTGTATATGTGATTTCATTCAAATCAAGAGGGAAAAGAAACACACTAAAGATAAGGTGTCAAGAAGACAAAGAACAAGACTGGACTTACCAGATAAGGAAAACAGGAGAACTGTGAATTTTGCCTCACTCGAGGGATGAAACACAGCAATGAGGCAAAGATCCCAAATGGCATCCACTCGGGAAGAGTATGAAAGGCAAGTCTAAAATCAGTTCAGGAGTGCCAATCAAGAAGAATTCGAGACATACAATGAGGATTTACGAAGTGGTGTTTCTTGTCTTCACTGTTGTTCACAAGTCATCCTGTCCAGCCCGCTTGGGCATACATGTCTTAGTGCTTGTAAGAGAGTGAGCAAGTGAAATCTGTGAGAAAAAACAGCTTGCTTAGAGATCATTTTGCTTAGAGATTTTGTGTAATAAAATCCCCTTCCTATTCCAAAAATCTCACAATGATTTTTGTTACCCTGGTTTCCTACCAGTGTAGTGTAATTGGGAGTTATAAGGCTTGTGTTCTTTGACCTTTTCAGCCTGGCAGAGTTCACAGGGGTATGTTGCCCCTTTGAAGTTCCCCCACCGTGCAGGTAGATGGTAGACAGAGGCAAACTATTGAAACTCGCAGGCAGCAGAGGATCAGTACCATCTTGCTAAATTTAATTTTATGATTGTTCAATATAAAATGTATAAGTAGTATTGGCTGCAATGAAACAACATTTTCATAAGATTAGCTGCAGCCATTGTCTCTTTCGTGTTCTAACTTACTCTAGACCTTTTAATTTTCTATTACGATTTTGTATTATTTTCTGTCCAATGACAGAACTTCAGCGGAAGGGGTGGATTGCCCTGGGGATGTCAGTGTTAACTTCCTCCAAGTGTTATATTATGCCTTATATAAAAGGTGAGCATAAACAGTAGACCTTTTGGGCATTTCTGGTGGATTGATTGATGAGAGGTGTAGAAACATAAACTTTATGTAAGTTCCAAACAGATTTAACCAAGGAGGTAATAATCGAGCTTTTTAGGTCATAGAAACCATCACAGTGTGCCAGTATATACTTGGGTACCTATGCCTGTCTAGAGGGTGGAATGAGAATCTTAAGAATTGCGTTTCTGGGTATGGGTGCTTTAATTCTTCCCTCCTGTTCTGAGAATCTGTCCCTTACGTCATCCTCCTATGGATCTGAACCTAATTTTCTGAAGCAGATTATATATACTGTTAACCTGTTTTTAAGATTATGTGCCTGAGGAATCATGGTAAAAAGCTGACTTTAACTAGCATCAAGCATTAACCCATAAAACAATTATTTAAAACAGATAATGAAATGGTGAGACTCCTTGCTATAAGATATCGTAATACCAAAACTTTATACAGGTTCAAAATATGATTGAATAAATTAATGGGGAGGGGAAATCCATCATGGATTAATTAGCGTTGAGATACTATGGCACAGGAACTGAGCTGCTTTGCGTGAAGCATATGAGAATGCACTGAGGAAGTATTGCTGCAAGTATCTTTAACCTGTTTTCATATTCTTCCTTAGGCATCCATTGGTGTGACCAGTGCTGGAGACAGATCTAGATGAATCTTGGGTCTAACCTAATATGGCAATTCTTACACTTTGAATATATACTTTATCAAGAATGTTCAGCTAAAATATAGCTTTGTTCCACATGGTTGTATATGGTCTTGAGTTCTGTTAGTTCGCTGATAGTTGAGATTAATTTTTTTTCCCATGTCATAAATTTAGTTAGGACAGTAGGTGAAAAGAGTGTACCTATGGTCTTTTCCAAGTGAGTCTATAACCAAAATCAAATTTGTACCACGCTTCTGTTTCTTCATGCAGGTCGTATCTACAAGTGCTTGTTTACTGGCTCTGTGAGCTCACTACTGACACTGCCATTAGATATTCTGTCAACGTAAGTACTTTAACAGTTTGATACAAATAACTTTTCTAGTCAGATTACCATAAAAATGGTTGCTTTGGAACTTAGTGTCCCTTTCTTCCAGTTATGCTTGTTATCTTCCATTATCTTATGTGAGCAGCTGCCTGTTACCCTTTGCATAACGAGATGTATGGCCAACAGTATTACAGTAGAAATCATTTCACTTTGAAGTCCTGTTATTCAGGTTCTCTGGAGATGGAAGGCTTTACAAAATGGGCTCTGATTAACGAAGATTTGTATTTGATGTCAAGAAAATTTGTGTTGGAAAATTACACTTAATTAAAACAAAAATAATTTCCTATGGTTTAAATCAGATGCCACGTAGTAGAAAATTAATATGTTGCTAAGAATATTAATTTCACATGCTGTTTGCTTTGTTATATTTTTATATGTTGAATTTAATTGTATCCATCCCGAATCTTGTATGTAATAAGGACTACTTTTTTATTGGATTGCCTTCTAGCTGACACTTTTACTGCTTCAATCACTATATGCGATTGAATATTGTCTTACTTTGTCTTTTTTTAAACCAATTTTACTTAAATAATCAGTACATACCAACACAATGGAGTTTCAGGGTGGTTCTTACTTTTTTCATTATCTTGAACCTGAACAACTGAACCTCAGTTTGAGTGGGATCAGTTGCACATCAAGCAAATTTTGAATGAATGTTCTGTGAAGTTCAGCTAAGTCATCTCAGTTGAGCATCATCATGCTCATGTAATGCATTGCCAGATTTAAGACATCAGGTCATGTTACATTTCATTATTTTTTATTAATGGAGAGAGATGCTTGCTTGAGATTAATAACAGTATTTTTCCTCTTATTTCCCAGTAAGTGTAGATTTTATTTTTATTTTTCTGAGAAGAATTTGAAACAACTGAACCTAGAGCACCTCTTCTTGCATCTTTTACAGTCTAGGGAGAAAATAAAGGACTCAAGTATGTGTCAGATTTTGATGGCATGTGGAGCTATGCTTCGACAGAGTCAATTTCAATAGAATCTTGTGTTGTCTTTTCATTTTGGACCTCTTGTCCCTATGGTATTCACTGTACTGTGCAGGCACAAGTGTTTGTGCATCTGCATGGTGTGCCAGACTGATACTTCTTTGGGGGTAATGTGGTGGCATATTTCTTACTTTTTTTAAAGAATGTATTGAAGTTGGTTAGCTTCCTGAGCAAATTCACTATGGTCAAGTAGTGCAAGGGTGAAAACAAGTGGGAGGGGGTACCTGGAATTAGGGATGAGGGTTGCTTAAGCCAATTGAAGTGCCTCTTGCACTGCATGAAACCCTAGTTCAGTTGGCTAACTGAACTTTGTTTTGCTGCTGCTTTACAGTTATGTGTGACTAGATAGATTAGGATTTTTAAAGTATAGAGATAATACCTGGGGTAAAAGACTACCCAAAGTATAGAGCAGTTGAAGTCAAACCCTGTAGTTCTTTTGGTTAGGATAGCTCAGCAGATAAAATGTTTCAGTGGTCTAGATATTATGCATATAGCTATTTAAACAGACCTTTCACTGTATCAAATCATTTACTTAGCAACTACTGTGTTTCCTTTGCTATTCTTGAAAATTGTTTTTCCTGAACTACTCTTGAAGCTTTTCTTCATGTTGAGCCAGACCGTGTTTTGCAGGAATATTTGTTTAGACAGTAATAATTTCAGAAACCAAGCCAGAGGGAAATAAAACCTTTTCCAAATCAGTGTTTATCTTGGCACTTAAAATCATTTGTACGCAGGTACATACAGCCTTCCTAAAAGAAACCTTTGAATAGATTTTTTTTTATATTAAATAATAATTATTTCTAGATACTTCAACTAGACACAAAAATAAATCCGCTTTTTGCACAAATACCATTTTATTTGTTGATTTGGACTAGAAGGATCTGTTTGTGGTAGTTAACAATGACTAAGTTTACTCTTATTAGCAAAATATATTTGTCATTAATGTTGGGTTTTTTTCTTTATTTAACAGGGAGAACTTACTGGCTGACTGTTTGCAGGGCTGTTTTGTGGTAACATGCACCCTGTGTGCATTTATCAGCCTTGTTTGGTTACGTGAACAGATCGTCCATGGAGGAGCACCGCAGTGGTTGGAACAAAATCAGCAACAGCCACTCAATGGCGTTGGTCAACAAAATGAGGTAAAACTTAACTACTCAGTTAAGTAGTTGGTTCGTGACTCAGTTCATGATAAATTTAGAAAATGTGCTATTGTGAATAAATATGATCAGAACCCAACGGTAATGTTATTTCACTGCAGGATATCTTCATTTGTAGGTTTGCAGAAGTTGAACATGTGTTCCTGTATAAACTCAGTGACACCACTATTATGTTTTTGAGGTTCTGTAAAATGGAATGTTAACGGATTTGTTACAGTATAATTTTTGTAAAGTGACTTTAACATTGTTTAGATTCTTTTGTCTGTATCTTTACACTTTTAGGATAATTTTGTAAATATAAAGCTGAATTGTCAGCCATAGTCAATGAAGATGCAGCTTGCTTTTATTTTGTCTTTCTCATAAGTATTTCAGTAGTTCATGAGGTAACAATTCACTGTTCTCACAGCATTTGGAGGTTTTGTTGAAACTTCTGAAGTTGGAGCTTCTCTGCCCTCTCCCGGCCCCCTAACACACACACGCACCCTTTTTAGTGCTTACGGGAGCTTCTTGGGCAGGAGAAGAGATGATATAAGCAATATGCGCATGGGGGAAATAATTAAAATTTTGTTTTCTTTTGTAATTTTTTTTTAAAGACTGAGATAGAGATCCTCAGCTTGATGATTGACTCGGGTTGTCCTTAAATTATTGTCTTTTTAATATAATGATAGTTTTCATAAGATCAAGAGATTTCACCTCTACTGAGCGCAGGTGAGACCACATCTGCAGTGCTGTATCCACTTCTAGGCTCCCCCAGTACAAGAGATATGGACATATTGGAATGAGTGCAGTGAAGAGCCAACAAAAATGATTAAAGGACTGGAGCATCTGACATGTGATGAGAGGCTGAGAGCTGGAACTGTTCAGCCTGGAGATGAGAAGGCTCAGGGTGAACTTTATCAGTGTGTATAAATGCCCAGTAGGAGGATGTAAAGAAGACGGAGCCAGAGCCTTGTTGGTAGTATTGAGTGACAGGACAACAGGCAGTAGGCTCAAATTAAAATACAGGAAATTCCATTTAGACAGAGAGGAAAAAAAAACAATCAACCAACCAAAAAACAAACAAAAAAAAAAACAACAAAAAATCCCAACCACAGGTGTGGGGTTTTGATTTTTTTTTTTTTTTCTCTTTTAACGTACATGTGATCAACTACTGGAAAAGGTTGCTCAGAGACGTGGTAAAGTCTCTGCCTCTGGAGTTACTCAAAAGCCAACTGGGAACAGCACTGAGCAATGTGCTGTAGCTGACCCTGCTTTGAGTAGGTGGGTTGACTAGACAATCTCTAGAGGCCCTTTAATGCTTAATTTTTGTATTTATGAAAGCATTAAACTAAAGAAAAGAGAGAACTGGACATTTTGGTTAACTTTATTTACATTTTTGTAAGAGACAAATGATTTCTTAAAAAAATGGTGGAGCATTTTGATGTAACATTGTGTTTGTTTTGTTTATGGATCACAAATTCCATAACTAGAGCATGAGATGCATGTGCAAAGTAATCACAGAGTAGTGTAGACACTCAAGAACTGGTGTTTTGTAGCTGGTTTAGAAGTAGCCAGCACTGGAGTCCAAAGCTCACCACATGCAGCAAAATCTACCTGAAGGTAGATGGAGCAGCTTCATGTGATGTAACAGCATCACTAGTGCCTATGGCAGACAGTTGTAAAGCTAGTCACTGTATTCGTAGGCTATGATATAGTTTTTACATCGATTGCAGAGTAGTAGAAATACAGTTTTCATCATGAGGTACAGGTCTTGATCTTTGTTTTGTATCTAGTGAAAACTTTGTAGTTTGTTTTGAAAGACATTTCGTGAAAAAGGGCCTAAATTCAAGTTTCCGAACCATTCTACTGTGTATCTCAAGACAATAGTGTTATGTTTCTGAACCCAATTTATGTGCTGGGAAATGCTGATGTACTCCTAACTGAAAATATTTTGATGCCTCTCCATGTATATAGAAATCAGTTTCAGCAAACTCTCATAACCATTTCCAATCCTATATGCTGGCATAGACAGTAGACATCTAATTGGCATTTAGTACCCAAAGCGGGTAGGCTTTTCTGCTATTTCATCATGTGAAAATAGCATGCAAGCTCTCTGAATTTTCAAAAATATTTGCATCTTGGTTTACTTTGTAAGAGATGTACGACTTTAATATCTTGGAACCTAGTGTAAAATCCTGGTACAAGATAGCCTTTGAACCTGGTACTTCACAGTAGTAATCATGGAGTAGGAGTGTCTGAATTGAAATAGTAAGAAATCCTTGAATTGGGGGGAAAAGGAGAGATTATTTTTCTTAATAGATGCTCTATTTTTGGCTGTTCTGTGGATGCTTCCCGTAACAGTTGTGCGGAGTGATGGAGGATTTGTTTCCTGTCTTCCCTAGCTGTGAACCGGTTCTGTTCTAAGCTTAATAACACACAGTGTAGCAACATTATCCTGTTACTGGTTGCTTTTATATGTTGAAGGTAAAACATTAGCCGTTGATTTTTCTCAGTGCGACATAAACTGATGCTTTGCAAGTAGGAAACAACAACAAAAAAAAAAGGCTAAAGGCTCCTGTATTTTAATATTGAGTTGTTTAAGCATATTTTTAAATAACAGTTCAATCACTTGTAAAATATTTGTCAGTCTTCAAAGTTTTGGAGACAAGTAGCCTACAAATTGATTATATATTTGGTTTGTTGTATATAAATACATGCATATTAAGATATTCCACAGGTATATCACTGCCTTTGATCAACTGAGTTTACTGTGTTGAACAAGAACTTAGTTTCTATCTTTAAGAATTTATGTCCAGGTTCTGTTGGTTGAGCAATAAAAGAAGCTTTAGACTGTATTGGACATTAAAATTTGGTGTGAAAGAGGCTTGTAATGAGGCTTATTTTAAATGCGTGTTGCTTAGTTTTTCTGATGGGTAAATAAAATTAGCTTTCTTATCTTCACAGATGCTTGGACTTGATGGATCTCTGGTTTTTTTAGTAAGTGAAATACTGCATTTCAAGAATTTCTGTAGAAGGCACTTTTTAAAGTATACTGTATTTTTATAAGTTACATCATTCTATTTGGAGTCTCTACTTTCATATGATATATGTTCTTTAAAGACACTTTTATATGATGTCATGTTCAAGCAAATTGTTTTAGGAGTTTCACAGAGTGGGATTTCTTAAGGCATAGGTAACTTTGGGTCACATACTCCACTGTAAAGAAAAAATAGACCCTTTAAAGAAGCATAAACTGAAAATACCTATCTGTTCTAGCCTTAAGTTTTGCTCTTTATGTTGTGATTAAAATAGTCCTCATTCAGACTTCTCTGATTGGCTCTAATATTTATATTGATTTTAAAAGAAAAGCTTATCTGTACAAAATAAGAGTGTTAAAGAAATATAAGTACTCTTATCTAGGTAAATGTCCATGAATGTAAACAGATGCTTTCGCAGTCTGTCCTGCTTGTTTTGGTCTCTGTTAGAGCAAATTTCTTGGCTCTAACACGAGATCTGCAAGTTCTGGTAATAACAGGCAGTTGAAATAAGTAGTTTAGCTACAAAAGTCATGTCTCTTATTTAAATTACTGATATTTATGTCCTGTTTCCTTGTTGTCTTCCTCCCTTCTTCACCCATACTCCTCGCAGGAACATGTCTTTTGGGTGGTATCTTTAAATACATTGTTCATACTTGTGTTTGGTAAGTATCAATTGCTTATAGGTTTTAAAAAGATCCTTCTTTGTGAAGTGATAATGCAGATTAATTTTAAGGTTGTTCTCTCAGAATAAATGAAGTTATAACACCTGAAAATGAAACCACAATCAAACTGGAAATATGAATAATAAAGCTGAATTGCTTCTAGTTTTGTCATTTTAATTCCTTTAAGAGAGTAAGTTTAAAATAAGAAATCTACCAAAAGCTTAATGATGACAACCAAAGCACAGATGGTAATATTTGTTTGGAATCCTGTTAAAACAAAGGAGGAACCTCCTGGAATTTAATTTATGAGCCATTGCAGTACTTGTAGGAATGGCTAGGATATTTTTTTCTTCTTCTAGTTTTCCCTAGATACAGATAAATCACATTTTACATCAAGAATCCATTTTGGAGCTCAAAAGCGGGAGGAAGGGGGATGCGCAAAAATGTAGCTGACTGTAGAGTTGTCAAATATACTTTCATCTTGTTTACAAAATTACTATGGAACAACTTCCCTTGGTTCATACAACTTAGACTGACTTAAATTTCAGAAAATAGTAAATTCTGATCAGTGGTGTATTTTACTTTATTTTCCTTTTTCCTTCCTGTAGATGCTGAAGCTGAGTTGTAAGGTTAAATGATTGCAAAACTCTTTCTATTTCTAGTACAAGACAGGAATATTTCCATGTTCTGATTCCATGTATAGTCAGTGCTAGGAAAATTTCTTGGACATAAACTTGTCACAGTTTAAAAAAAAAAAATAAAAGAAAATCCCCAAACTGTAGGTATATATTTGCCAATCACTTGACCTCTAAAAGAAAAGGGTAAAATGCCTACCTTATTGCAAATAACAGTAAGCTTCCCCTTGAGAGTTTCTGGAATTCCTATTTTGTATTTACTGCTTATAATATGTAGGGTAAATTTGCATTTCCACTCTGTTTTTTTTCTGCAAAAAGGGGGTAACAAATTTAGAATTAATTTTTTTTAAGACCCTCCTAGAGGCATTAGACTGATTCAGATATTTTTTTGTACCTTACACCAGTTGAGTCACATGGGAGAATAACAGCTCTTCTCTTTGCCTTGATTTTGCCTGTTTAGCTCCTAACAGCAGCTTTTGGATTATAGTGCTAAAGCTCATTAGTGTTGTTAATTTGACACAACCATGTGCAGAAGCAGCAGCATTTTAGTGACAAGGTAGAGCATTTTAAACACTTAAAGAGATACCAGACCCAAAATTTCACTTGCTCTGAATTAACAATTTAGAAAGAGATTGGTTATGTTGCTTTGGTTTTTTGGGTGATCTTTCTTGGCAGAAGTGTTTGAGCTTTAAAAACCAAGGTCATACTATAGATGAGAAAATTTTGCAGGCAACATAAAGCTCACAATACCGAACCCGTGATTTGAGCATCTAGTTACTGAAATGAATCAGCAGATCAAAAGAAAATGAAAAGACTCATCATGTATATTTAATTCACAAAAAACTGTAACTGTTGTAATAAGAGTTGGGAAATAGTTGAATTATTTCTTTCTGCTAAAAGTCTATTTTAATCTGTAGTTATCAGATGATAATTAGGGTTTTTAGCTGCTATAAAATTTAGGCTTTTTTAAGAAGTAGATACTAAATAAGAAATTTCTAAATCCTTGATTTAAATTCAATAGTAAGTGAGTAATAAGAATAACTAATAAGGTTGTCAAATAGATATGTTTTCAGTAGATCTAAGGGTGCTTTAACAAGTGGGAAACCAACAGGTAAAGAAGAGAATGCAAATGACTCTCCCAAGCAAGCGAGCAGGAGACCTGGGAATTAAATTTGTGCCTCTCAAGCCTATTTTCAGTATCTTTCTCATTAAGTAATACTGCCTAATTTAGAACGGCCAAATCTCTAGTTATTTGTAATTATAGTCCTGGTGAGTTTGTCCTCCGAGTGTCACAGGAGGTACTTCGTAGAAGATAAAACAAAGGGAAGGAATTTGGAACCTTAATTACTGGTCCAGAAAATCTCCTATGATGTTCTTGTGGATAACTTAGTTAAGTTCGACTTAATTCATATTTTCTATAGCTTGTTTTAGTACTCGCAGAGAAGTTTCTACTCCTTTATGCTTTATATTAAGAATGATATATTAGAAATTCTCTTTTAAAGAAAGTTATTTTAAAAACATGATAACCTGCACTATAATCTCAAAAAAACACTGCCAAAAAGATAGGACTTTTAAGTCATGACTCTGATGTCTATAGGACTTGTGAGATTAAAAAATAAATCTCACTCTTTTCTTTCTCTTGGTCTTACTGGGCGGGAAAAGTTCAAGTCCTCTCTTTCTTTTACATTCTTGCTATTCTTAGTAACTGCTGATTTTTCTGAAAGGGACATAAATTAAAGCTTTCTAAACGTTGATTAGGGTAATACAAATGCTGCTAAATCTTTTCCTAGTTCTTTTACATGTTGGTCATATGGAAATGAGAAGGAGAGAGAAAATCACGTGGCTTCTCATTTGAGGGTATGTTTAGTCTACAGTGGTCTGCAGAGTGGATTATCATGATATAGTGAGGGCAATATAGGTGAAAATAAAAGCCTGCAGCTACTGCAGCCTCTTTACTTCGTATTGACTCCCCCTGCTCCTGTAGGAATGTGATATTGAATTCTGTAGTTCGTAACTTGGTTAGAAGACCACTGGGTGAGCTAAAACAACTATACTGTTGCAAATACACAGGTGTCCAAAAATGGGGGAAGTTCTGTGGTTTTTGATTCATTCCTTCTGAGACCTCAGAATTGACAAGAGTGAATTCTCAGGAATGGTGACAGTTCCTGATATGTTAATTCAAAGTAAATTGTTCCTCATCCCTTCACTGAAGCATTGTCTTGCTCCCCCGCATCTTCTCTTCCCTTTGCAAATTTCTGATGGGCTTGCATTTTTCATAGTATTCTTAAGAATTAAAGCACTAAAACTGAAACCTTGCTAAAGCAAATCCCATCTGACCAAGATGTAAAACGGCTACTTAAGTCTTCTGTTGCATGGGAAACAGTGAATATACAGAACGTGTTCCTACAGCAGTCTATGAGAGTGATAATACCCTAGTACATAAGACTGAGAAATTGAATTAATTTGCACGCAGCAAGATTAACTAAGAAGGAATAGACTGTCATCTTATTCTGTGTAGTTTTATATTGTGTGTAGTCTCTCAGTGTGAATTCAGATCTAGTTTTTCAGTGTTTGTAAAATTATAGAAATATAACACTTGCAAATATTTGTACAGAAAGTAATTTTTTTTCAGTTGTTTTCACAAAATTGATGAGAAATAGAATAATTACCATGTTACAATATACATACTGCAAATAAAGCTCCAGTTAGCAGGTCTCATGGCCTTTTTTTCCCCTTCTTTCTGCTTACATTATGCAGCATTTTGTCCGTACCACATTGGTCACTTCTCCATTGTTGGCTTGGGCTTTGAGGAATATGTGAGTACTGTTTTATAATTTCAAAATGTAAAAACTGCTGATATTTATTTAACCACAATATTTCTGTAGCATACTTCCACTTTTATTTGTGTTTGAAAAAGTAACCTGGAGTGTCTCTCATTTTTTCTCCTCAAACCTTTTTTTTAATCTATGATTAAAAATGTTCTCTCTCTTTCACACTTCCGCCGTTATTTACACTTCAAGTTAGGTTTCCCCCTTTTACCAAAATATGCATATGGTTTGGGGTTTTTTAACAGCCTCTTGTTCCTCATGTAGATTTTAAATTTGTATACTGAGTAATTTTCATAGTTATAGGTAGTGAAAGATAGGAGGTAGTGAGGTAGCATAAGGTGACACTTGGTTTCATATATAGAGGTTGTTTCATGTTTGAAGAAAGTAGTTGTTAGACTCTTCCAATAAAAGTAAACATTTTACACTCTTGATGGAGATACCAAAAAAGTAGTAGATGATTAAAATATGTAAAAACTGAAGAAACTTGTCATACTTCCTGAAGAGTTGAGATTTGGAATTTATCTTAATTACATAACAATCTCTTAAGCGGCTGATAAGCTTTCCTTTTTTCCCCCTCCCCTCCAGGTTCAAGCATCTCACTTTGAAGGCCTGATTACAACTATAGTCGGATATGTTCTGCTTGCAGTGACTCTAATTGTTTGTCATGTATCCTTTTGTCAGTGGTTACCTGGTTTGGATTTTATGCGTAAGTCATTTTTCTGGCTGTATTTTGAGGAGTCGCAGACATGATGCAGATGCAATTAATTTACCTTTTTTTTTTCTGCTCTTTTGGTGACATTAGAAAAGGTCTCTTCTGTTCTCTTGGACATTTAAAAGTTGTCAGTGTGACTGCATTCTTCAGAATACTTGCACGGGTTTAACAACACAAAATCATAGGTTTCTATGCTTGCTTGAAAGCCTCCAACTAAATTTTGAAGGTCTGTCTGAGAAGATGAGTGTAGAACCATTGTTTCTTCCTCCCTGTCCTTACACTGTTGCTGTAGGCTGCGTAGTTGCAGCAGAGAGAGAATGAGATTATGAAAATACATAGGGTATGATGTGAAAATTTTTTTCACATATTTTTTGATCCTGCCAGAACTTTAGAGTGCAGATTGTTTTAGTTTCCCTTTGATGTCTCTGAACCAGTGAGAGTTTACAACAAGGATTTATTTCAGGTAATAACCCTCATTATTACACAGAAAATTAAGTAACAGTAGAGTCCTGAAAGCTAGAAGGATTTGATCACATGTAAAAAGTCTGCATTCTAGCTGCATGTTTTTAAATGGACCACATCAACTTCATTTTGAAAAGAATAAACATTTGTTAACACGTTTCTGTTCAGGAGTGCACAAAGCTAACATCAACTTTAGACCGCACTATGCCAATGTGCAGTGCAAATGTGGTAAAACAATTGATTAGCATGTCTCTGTTTTGCCTCCTAAAAGAAAACAACACAAACCCCCAAACTGTAATATGCACCCAGTGTTTCTTGGAAAAGCTGAGAATTTGTTTTGGACTGCATGAAAAGGAAAGCTACCATTTAAGGTAGGCCTTAAGATTTGAAACTTGCCCACTCGTGGCAGACATTTTCAAAGGCAACTGTTTATTTCTTAAGAAAAATTTTGCATGCTTAATTTCAGAAGAGTGGTAGTATTATTTTTATTTGATTTATTAATTCATTTATTTTAGATGCATATTTTTGGGGGGTGTTATCCAGCACATCAGATTGTGACTTCCGGAGTCAAAGGCAATTTTAAAAACAGAGCCTTGATAAAATACATACTTCCTATTTCACTTTTGTCTCTTATAAAATTTCCTATTGCTAAAAGCCACATAATACAGCTTCATATTAATCAAACTGTGTTATAAAATATTTTTCACTGTTACTTTCTTGACAAAACTATTCAGGGTTTGGCAGCACTTGTTAAGTTCCAGCGATCACGACGTTTATTAGGAGTTTGCTATATTGTCGTCAAGGTAATCCTGGGTGGTTTTTTTTTTTGGGGGGTGGAGGGGTAGCAAAACCCCCTCAATTTAAACTTACAATGTAATTTTCTTAGCAATTTCTTTTAAACTAGTGAGATGTTCTTGTCTCTTTTTTTCCTACAGGTTTCCTTGTTAGTGGTTGTTGAAATTGGTGTGTTTCCTCTCATCTGTGGTTGGTGGCTGGATATATGCTCTTTGGTAAGAATGGAAATAAACTGTATAAAATACTTTTTTAACAGTGTTTGTATTTAAAGCAAAGCAAGTTCTGATGAGAGGAGAGTTGTTGCAATGAGTTTGACAGCACTCTTCTGTTTTTGTAAACATAGTCTTTCCAGAGGGAAAGGGTTTTTTTAGGTACTGCTTAATGTTAGTTTCGTTTTCCTTTATGTTACTAAATACAAATTAACATACTATTATTAAAGTAATACAATCCTAATCATTTTTACTGCATTTACAAGACCACTGTGATAATTAACTTACTTACAGGCAAACTTGTGTACTGAATGAACTTCTTTATGTAGCCATCTTATGTGAAGTGGTAATGACTTCATATTTTAATAGTTGTCCAATCTCGTTCTGTTTTGAACAAGATACATGCTGTGCTTGCTTTGAATTGAGAGGGACAGTTTTTTCATCCTGAAAAAAAATTAAGTGATTAATTTCAAATGGAGAAAATGTATTTCTTCTAGCCTTAGTAGAAATAGAATTTTACTTAAGGGAGTAAGTACATGCTTCCATCACAGTGCCACTTTGAGCTGATTTATAACTTATGTAGTGTATGTTAGTGTTTGAGTTGACTTCTTTCTTCTTTCTGTCAGAAGAAAGCAATTTATCTGAAACTGATCTTCATTTGCTGCTGTTATTGTAACTTATTCTTTATTTTCTAATTAAATGCTATAATTATTTATGTGTTAGCACAAGGCAGACATTTAAGTTAAATGCCTAGTAACAGTATATATGAACTAGGGTAAACAAAATGAGTAACTGTGGATGTTTGCCAAACTTTATTCATCTTAGTTTACCACTTACCTTCTAGGAAATGTTTGATGCCACTTTGAAAGATAGAGAATTGAGCTTTCAGTCTGCCCCAGGTACCACAATGTTTCTGCACTGGTTAGTTGGAATGGTTTACGTCTTTTATTTTGCATCCTTCATTCTCTTACTGAGAGAGGTAAGTCTATAAGAACAAGATTTGTATGTAATATAGTTAGAGAAGCTTGCATGTTAAACTGTTAGTTAAATCTTTCACATGTGGGTATTGCTGCTACTGTGTTTTGTGTGTGTATATTGGATTTCAGCCTTATGTAAAAGGCTACACTAGTACTTACTGCAGTGAAAATTGATGATTTAGAATATATTTTACTTAAAGATTTTTAGTTTGCAAAGAGTTCTTAAACACAGATGTTGCCTTCAAATGAATTTAAATACATTTCAGTTGTTTAAGATTGATTAATACTTGAAAATTATGCTTGTAACTGGTTATTGCTTCTCTATCATAATGCTTCCTTTGTTCTATTTCTGTACCATTTTGTTGAACGTTATTCAACAAATACCCCTATTATGTTTAAAATTTATTTGCTGCAGCAGTGTTATCCAAAATGAAAAACAAACAATACAAAGATAACTTTCTCTTCATATATTGTTTTCTATGTCCTACTTCAGGTATTGAGACCTGGTGTCTTATGGTTTCTCAGGAATTTGAATGATCCAGACTTCAATCCTGTGCAGGAAATGATTCACTTGCCTATTTATAGACATCTCAGGAGGTTTATCTTATCAGTGGTAAGGACATTTCTCAAATTTCTTCATTTGGAAAGAAAATTTCATATGTTAGCTCCCATATATGCTACTGCGTATTTAAGGGAAAACATTTTCACCATGAATGTGATTAGACACTGGAATGGGTTGCCAACAGAATCTGCGTCTTTTGAGATACTCAAAACTCAACTGGATAAGGTTCTGAGCAACCTGATGTAACTGGGTCTGCTCAGAGCAGGGGGTTGGAGTAGTTTACCTATAGAGGTCCCTTCCAAAACAAATCTTTCTGTGATATCTTCTCCTTACGCAAAATCCCAGGAAATGTTTGTGTATTCAGACAACAAGTGTTTATTATTATAGGTATTGTAAATCACGTAACTCTTTCATGATGTTCTTAGTTATTGCAGTAAACATTGTGTGTCCAATTCAACAAAAGTAGTACAGCAGAGGTAGAGTAACTTTCTACTTAAGTTTTGGATTGGATTATGCTGATCTGGCCAGCGGTGTCTGTTTCCAGATTATCATTGTAGGATACTGAAAACAATGAAAGTTTTTTTTCATTTTGCTTGTTTGTCTGAAGTTTGCCTAGCATGCAGTAAAGGAAGGGTCTCAAGCTATCTTTGATGTAAATGTCATGTCAACTGTGAAAACTGATAGACCAGAAACATTATTATTTGGCATAATGTTAATACAACTAAAGTACTTCGAGCAGTGAAAGCTCTCATAGAAGTATCTTACCTCTATTAGAGAGCCCTTCAGTACATAAGAGGAGCTGACCTGTTCACCTTTCAGAGTACACTCTCCTTAGATAATCATAATGCTTTAGCTGCCTGAAACTTTGTGTTGCAGCAAGCGGCCCAAATATAAGCAAAGATCTGCTTGTTACTAAAGGTCTTAGAGGTATGTTCTCAGACTGTGTTTGAACGGGTGGTTACTTGAGCTTCACCTTTTGATTTGCTTTGCTAATTAGTTCAGAACTTTTACCAGCTTCATGCTAGAATATGGGACCCAAACAGCCATCACTTACAGTTTATGATTTAAAAAAAACAAGTCAGACTTTTCAAGTTGTGTTTCTTTCTCAATATTTTTAAGAAATTTCTTGTGTAGAACGTAAACTATTGTTTAAAGAAGAATGGGATTTAATTTTTTTTTTGTACAGTTAAACACATAAATTTTTTTTGCATTTTTAGTATCTAGTGGTGCATTTATATGACATGTAAGAATGTGTTGAAATATACTTGACTTTTAATCTGGTTCCTAAAGGAAACAGGATTTATAAAAGTGTGTGGTCTTTGTGCACCTGGTCTCCCCTGCTAAATATGTATCTTTCAGCCAATTTAAAAGGCGAGGAAATAGAAACATCTTTTGAGGCTTCTACAGGTTGCTTGATAACTCAGCCACTAAGGAAGGCAAGGAATCTAAAATTAGTAATCCCAGTGCTGGGGGAGGGGAGAAAAAGTAGAACTGTCTGACATTATCCTAACTGTCAGCTGCCCAGTCTGTGCTTATTCAGCTGCAGTCCTATTTGGCGAGGGCATCATAACATACTGGTCTGCCTGGGATGGAGTTCATTTACTTCACAGCAGCCCGTGTCCTACTGCGCTTTGGCTTAGAGGCTGAAACAGTGTTGGCAACACAGGTGTTTTGACTATAGCTGAACAGCGCTTCCACAGTGTCGAGGCTCTTCCCTCCTCTGCCATGCCCACTCACCCCTCCAGCGAATAAGCTGAGGGATGGGAGGGGGTAATATGTGGGATGGCTGACCCAGACTGACCAAAGGAGTATTCCATCCCATCCTATATGACATGCGTAGCAGGAAAAGCTGTGGGAAAGGAGGAGGAAGGGGGAGATGTTCACGATTATGGCATCAGTCTTCCTGAGCAACTGTTAACATGTGCTGAGGCCCTCGTTTCCATGAAGCTGCTGATCATCTGTCTGCTGATGGGACGTAGTGAATGAATTCCTCTTTTTATTTTGCTTGTGTGCACAGCTATTGCTTTCTGTATTAAACTGTCATCATCATCTTAATCCACAAGTCTTCTTGCCTTCCTTCTATTTTCTCCCCGTTCAGCTGTAAAAGGGAATGAGTGAGCAGCTGGGTAGATACTTGGCCGTTAACCAAGGCTAATGCACCACACACAGGAAACATGTCAGAGAGATGAGTGGGAAACTAGGTTTGGTTGTTTCTGCTATTTGGACTAACTTGTTTAACTTCCTTCTTGCAGATTGTCTTTGGATCAATTGTACTGCTCATGCTCTGGCTTCCTATACGCATTATTAAGTATCTCCTGCCAAACTTTCTTCCATACAATGTTATGCTCTACAGGTAAGCATTTAATTCAAACCAATGTTTTTTAGTCTCCCTATAACTAGAAAAAAGTGTATTTGCACGCTTTGAGCATTAATGTGACGTTTGGTATGTTATTTTGTTTGTTTTCAGTTAATCTAAACTTCATTGTTCTAGAAAAGTGAAAAGATGAAGAACATAGATACATCGTACAATTTGTCAAATAAAAAGCAACTATAATCTAAACTTCATTGTTCTAGAAAAGGGAAAAGATGGACATAGATACATCATACAATTTGTCAAATAAAAAGCAATTTAGAAAAATAAAAGGCATTTTGTATTACTTCTGCAATGATAACTATTTGTTTTTTATATGCCTGCAAAACACTTTCCCCTTCAGCTTTTTTGATAGTGAAGTTGCTGCCATGTTTGTTTTTCACATTCATTCCTGATTATCATTGCTTCAAGAATGAAAGACTATCTGTAACTTTATGTCTTTTTAATGATAGCATATCTTTCTGTTTCTAAATAGTAATTGAAAGAGCAATGGTAGAAGCAAATAGAGGAGCAAATAATATTCTCCGATAAAATCTTTCACAACATTTTTTTAAATTTCTTATGCTCTTCATAGCATATCTTTCTGTTTCTAAATAGTAATTGAAAGAGCAATGATAGAAGCAAATAGAGGAGCAAATCATATTCTCCGATATAATCTTTCAAAACATTTCTTTAAATTTCTTATGCTCTTAAGTGCCTAAACACTCATGAACACTTAACCTGTGCCATGATTAGTATATAAGAAAAAATGTCTGCAAAAACCTAATAATTGTTCCTGTTGGCATCCAACATTATTTTTTTTTTTTACTGTGGTGGTGTCATGATTCAGTGTAAGGGATTACAATCAGGGTGTTCCTTATGTTTGACTTCCTGCTCTTCCCATCGTTTTTAGTGATGCTCCAGTAAGTGAACTTTCCCTAGAGCTCCTTTTGCTTCAGGTGGTGCTTCCAGCTTTGCTAGAACAAGGACATACAAGACAGTGGTTGAAAGGTCTTGTACGAGCATGGACTGTTACTGCTGGATACTTGCTGTAAGTACAGAAGACTAAAATCAACTACAAGCATTGTGTTCAGCTTAGCCTTTTAACGTGAAAGGAACATGCTTTCAGGAGAGTTATCCAAACAAGTAGCTTTAATAGCTATTTTACAGATAAATGTGTGATGAAAAACTTCTATAGTGATTTCCTATGGAAGTCCCTTCTTCTAAGCAGTAGTTGTACGTACTTCTGGACTGGACTTTGAGAAGGAATCTTCTGGTACAGTATTACAGCATTTGCTTAGTTAAAAAAAAAATCTATAAAAGTGTGACTAACATCTTGTTAACTTCCTGTTATATGGAAAAATTAAAGTGGTGTCAGCAGAGCATTTCCATGAGACACCTAAATAAAATTCATGTGTACATTTTGTATTTCCTACTATAAGAATGAAAAAAAAAAAAAGGGAAAAATAGAGAACATTAGGCTGAAGAAGTGAATACCTTAAAATTGGGGATATTAAAGTTAAAAGTTCAGTCTCTAAAGAATGACGAAACTATCTTTGTCAGCTAAAGTAAATTATTATACAAAGTGAGGTTCTTTAATTTAGACTGCCAGACAGAATTCTAGCACTTGAAATTATTTTTTTTGTTCGTATGTTGTTTGCCAAATTAGTTATGAAAAATTGAGGTTAATTTTTGTTTCTATAAAGTTTTAAATTTAACTTCAAAGTATATTGGCATTCTCCCACCATGTCTTGCTCATTGTGGGTTATGCCAATGCAGCACTATTAGGATGAAGATTTATTCTTTGCTCAGTTATGTCTGAGACTGAGAAAAGGAATGAAAGACTTTTTTTCTTCCACTGCAATCCAAAATATTTACTTTAGCTTCTCATAAGGAAACTCTCCTCACCCCTGTTTTCTTAGTTTGCATTTTGGAAAGTTTTTTTTTTTAATTAATTTGCCATGTTTTGATAGTGTTTAAGTATGACTCAAGAAGAGAATTTCGGAGATGATGATAGAAATGGCTTTGCTTTCTCCACTGTTGCACAACAAGCTATTAAGAAAAATTGCAAAATGTCTCCAGCAATTTTAGTTGAGCAAAGATGAAAATCTTTTCGCAGCAGTTTGCTTTCTAAGAAAAGCAAAGGAAAGTGTGTTCATTGTCTGCCAATAGAGTATCTGCATGCATCTTACTGCTAATTAAAATTCTGCTAAAGATGAGGAAAACTAACTTCTAAATATTCATATTGGGTTTTGTTTTTTTTAATCAGATTCAAATATCTATTTGCTAATGATGTATGCAGGAAATATCAACAGGATACTTTTTAAAGTAGATTGACTCTCTTTCTAGGATTGATGTTCTTAGAAAATTGTGAACAGGTTTTGAGCAATTTAGGATCTTCTTGAAAGACTCAGCCTGACTGTACTTTTGAAAACGTGTCTATAGCAATACAGTACTGTCGCTATACTGTTTAGGTTTGAAGGCAATTGTTTCCCAGTAGAGCTTAGTGTCAGTAAGGTAAAAGCTGTCAGTTGAGCTGCCTGTTTATATAAACTGAAATATCGATGCAATTTGCCTTTTATATGCACAACAACTTTAGCTGTTTGTTTTTAAAGAAAACAGCAAAGTGATCTTTATTGGTGGCTGTATTCCCACTGTTCTAATCTCCATCCACAATAGCATTTTTCTTCTAAATTCTGTGTTTAGGATGAATTTGAGTACGTTATTAGGAAATGGTTTAGTTTATAAAATAAAGATTCTGCCTGTACTCCTGTATAAGTTTCATACAACTTGTACCCGTTCTGAGTAGGCCTGTCTTTCTGTAAGATTCTCATTCATATCAAACAGAACAAAACTGAAATTTTGATCATTACAGGGATCTCCATTCTTACCTACTTGGTGACCAGGAAGAGAATGAAAACAATGCAAACCAGCAGCCTAACAACCAGCATGCTCGCAATAATAATGCCATTCCAGTTGTGGGAGAAGGTCTTCATGCAGCCCATCAAGCCATACTTCAACAAGGAGGACCTGTGGGTTTCCAGCCTTATCGTAGGCCTTTAAAATTCCCACTCAGGGTAGGTTTATCTAACGCATTAAGAGAAAAGGGAAAGGCATTTGAAAAATGGGTATAATCTTTTTTTGTAATAAAGATTTTGCCCATGTGTTATCTGAAGTCAAGTGGTGGGTCATGCTGTTTTGTGGTTTGTACAGTTTGCATCTTTCTAAAAAGCAGACTTACAGTTATCATAGAATGGTTAGAGTTGGAAGGGGCCTTGAAGATCATCTAGTTCCAACCCCCCTGCCATGGGCAGGGACACCTTCCACTAGACCAGGTTGCTCAGAGCCCCATTCTACCTCACCTTGATCATTTCCAGGGATGGGGCACCTTGATCATTTCCAGGGATGGGGCATCCACAGCTTCTCTGGACAACCTGTTCCAGTGTCTCACCACTCTCAGAGTAAAGAATTTCTTCCTAATACCTAATCTAAATCTACCCTCTTTGAGTTTAGAACTGTTATGCCTCGTCCTATCACTATGCTCCCTGATAAAGAGTCCATCCCCATCTTTCCTGTAGTCCACTTTAGGTAGGTCCACTGTAGGCCTCTGTAAGGTCTCCCTGGAGCCTTCTCTTCTTCAGGCTGAACAACCCCAACTGTCTCAGCCTGTCTCAGAGGTGCTCCAGCCTTTGTGACCCTCCTCTGGTCTCACATATAGCTTTTTTCAGCCTGTAACTTATGATCTTCAATTACTGTTTTATTTATAGTTCCAATACATGTTGTGTATTATCTGTTAGTTTACATCTTGTTTTCCTAACAATTAGAAACTTAATAACCTCCGAGCAAACAGGTAGTTCAGGAGTGTCTCTAAAAAGGCATGGCTTTCAAGAGGGCACACTTCAGTCTTGTAACTGAAGTGTATTTTAAACTTTTTTGCTTTATTAAGAAAGTTAATTAAGAATGGAGAACTTCTGTTGCATCTGTATTAAACATAAAAAGGTGTTATGATGCTTGAAAGCTCTAAACCCCTACAATTAGAAAGGAAATGTTGTTAGCAAATACTTAACTTTCTAGAATAACATATAGGTCAAACTAGATAAATTGGTTTGTTGTTACCAGAACTCTGAGTTAATCAAATATAGACTTAAACACACAGCTCATTTACAGTGGTTTCAGGTATAGCTCAAGAATGGGAGTAATGGCTAAAGTTAGAACAGTGTAGTATTGCTTCTGAAATTTCCTTAAAATGCTGAATCTACCAGAATTCTCATAACAAAGTACAAAATAAAGTGGGGGTTTTTTTCCCCCCTATAAATCTCAACCTAGTAGAACTGAAAGCAAATTTGAAAGTATTCTAGGATTTCACAACTGTTGAGCTTCTGGGTGTTTGAAGTTAAGGCTTTTTGGGGGTGGGGAGGTAATTCCTTCACTGCTGTTTTTACCCTCTAAAATGGCTCTCTGCAGGAAT